CAGTCTGTAATATTCCTATTATGTGGCTGCATTTATAATTGACATTATATCGGTAAAGTTACGTTCTATGGAATTTTAACGTTATCTGCACCTTTAAAATAATATCAAACTGAGAAAGAGAGAGAGAGGGAGAAAGAGATACGGCATTAAGATAATTTATGGCTTATAATTGTTATGTATAATCTTATACAACAATTATTATACATAATAATTAAATTCGTTTGTAAATTATTACTCTCTGTAATTATCGGGCATGAACTAGCAAGTATAAATTGTGTGATATGTAGATATATATTTAATTACTAATTGCAATTTATAGGAAGACGCAAAATTGTATATTAATAGAATAATATGGCTTTATCATCATACAATAACTGATTATAATAATATATAATTTTTTAATGTTTAAATGATTAATAAGAGAGAATGAGAGATATTAGAAAGAAATTTTAAAAAATTAAATAACGAATGTAATTTATTGTTATCTATTTTTATGCCTTTCTCTTTATATGTGATCATTTAAAAATATAAATAATTTAAAGTTTTTTTATTTTAACATTTTAAAAAATATTTTAACATAATATGTCTTGTCATTCTTTTTCTCTTCATAATAATGTCGCATAATATTATTGAATGAATGAAACAATATAATGTTTCTAACTGAGAATAATAATATATATACATTAAAGCGTTCTCTTAAGTATTATTGACACTTGAATTATTATACGATTATATTATTTTCGATTACATTTTTTCCTCCCATTACATTGCTTTATCGGTCTTTTTTAAAGTTTAGATGGCTTCTCTATTTTTATGCATTATACTCTATCTGTATATTCAGTCTTATATAATATTACGTTCGTGCTTCTCGATGAGATTTCGTGTCGCATTTCGATGTAGAAAATGGAACAGGTTTGAAGAGCGAAAAGCACGCCGCGAGCTGCGAACCGCAGGGGAACATTTCCGACGGGCTGGAAAACGCAACCTGCCTTTGGCAATTCATGGCGGTAATAACATTCTTGTAACTTTTCATCTTCACACTCTGCATCCGTACTTTTCTCCGACCGTATTTTTATCGGGTGAAGTATCTTTTCCGGGCGCGCATTGGAATTCTCTCGCGCGCATTCACGGTTATAACTTTTACAGTCGCAAATATGCGATATTCGTGCACGTCGTTTGCTCGTAAATGCGAGCTGCATAACGAGTATTTGTATTTAATGTATTAAACAGCACGCTGGTGAAAAAGATTCGATCGCAGGAATATTTGTAATCGGGTCAGAAACGGATTTACTAAATGTGGCGCGATGAGCGCAATTTTACTCGGCGAGGAAAAATGAACGCACTATTACAGGGCACACAAAACAAAATATTATAACGTGCGCAGTATTCCAAATAAATATATGACCATAAAGTTGTAATTTTATCGCTGTTTTAATAACTATCGAGCTTTTTGCCGACTATATCGGCTGTTGTAACTATGTTGATTTTACATTACGATTTTTCGATAGTTTCAGACGAATAATCATTTTTTATTTTTTACCAGATTCTAGATAAATCTTTCATATATTATTAAATTTTGAACTTTTTTGATATTTAATATTAATATTAATTTGATTATTTGGATATTTAATATTAACATATTTACTTTAAGATAAACTATAAGTATAATATAATATTTTTATTAATATTCTACATTTAACGATGTGTACATATTATATCGTAAATAGATTTTTTTTTGCTGTTTCTGAATATTGTGGCGATAAAAAATGCATCTCAGAATTCTCTGCTAATGTCAATAAATTCATTTATTATACAAGAGCGGGTCATCAAACGCTTATTGAACCATCATACTTTTTGCGAACGATTCTTAGAAAATTTCTCGTTTATTGACTTAAGAACTTTTCGAGTGAGTCTCGTTGTCGCGATGAATAAAAAAAAATGCTGTCACCCTCGAGAGATTTGTTGTTCGAGAGCCAGCTGGAAGACGATAACTTGTCCGGATTTGCTGGACTTTTGGATACTCTGCGAAAAAGTTTTCGCAAATGGCGCCCACTCGTGAATTCTTGCCACTTGAATTTCATAGCTTCTACATTTGATTCTATCGGATCGAAAAAATGAAAGTGCCATCCATGCTTTGATAATGAAGATTCTAATCAGATTTTCTCTCGCAAATAGATCGTATAAAAATAAATATAAAAAATTTATTCCAGAAGAATTGTATAACTTTAAAGTAGCTTGTAAATGAATATTAAAATTAAGAATCGCTAATCTAAAAATTTTCTCTAAGTTTTCGATTCTAAAGGATGCGTGTCTAGTAAAAAATTACCTGCATAATGCAACGTTCATAGATATAATCGGCGAACGTTATTTTTGTTGTGTACAAAATCTTCAGATAAATAGATTAGATAATACATTAGATATATGATTCTTTGCTCTCGTGAAGCGTGACTTTCCTGGAATACATCATTCGTGGAGAGCCGTGCGAACTTTGGGATATAATGTTTAGTTAGACCGTGTAAATAGTAGGAACCGGGCGCGTGCTGGAGAGATCCTTTGAAAGAACAATACCTCTTTGTCGGTTTGCAAACGGGGCTGTTTCGCCCCGGCAAATAAGTGATGGTTGCTTAGCTATGCAATATAACAATACTATCCTACCGTCTGCATTGTTATTTCGGACGAGAACTAGATACACACTTGGCGCGCACATCCCTGCTTATACCTGGTTGCCGCTTATTTACGCCTAACGTGTTTCAAACCGTTTCTATACACACTGCAATTTATGTGGAATAATTCTCAATCGATAATTCGTAACAGTTCTAGCTTCCCTTACATTCGTTCGTATCGTGTAATATCGTTACAATTATAATTATATGTTGCATTACAATTACATGTTCTATATATCGATATTTCTCTTTTTTGAGACATTCTCAAGTTTGATATTGTATTTCTTACATTTTCCAAATTTACGCATTTTTCTCAAATTTTATTATAATTTATTATTCCTATTCTTTATGTTATTCTAAATAATTAGTCGCAAATATTACTATTGTATAAAGAACCAATGAATCGTTTCATGAAACATGATTCAAAATTTTTCGTTTGAATTGTAAAATTTTATTTTACTTTTTGGCAAACAAACGCTTCCGAAACTTGTTTCAGAAGCTTGGGGCGCTAGAATATAACGGCCATTCCTGCAGACAGTTCTATCTCATAAAAGGCTTTCCTCGCTGAAAATATTGTATTGTTAAATATTTACTTGCATCTGCTGCATTTATCGGCTTGGCAACAATCTCGTTATCAATTCCGCTTTGTAACGTAATTTTGCAGTGAAATACATCAGATATGCGAGCGTGCGTTAATATCAATCGGAACAAATTTTTAATTGCTATATTGAATAATGCCCTGTTGTAACGCGTTTCAATATTTCGCAAACCTTCGGTTGCTGATATTATTCATCAATCTGTTATTATTTACCCGTCAAATGATGCAATAAAGTTATAAAATATGCAAAAATATTCGCTCTGTAGAAATTCTGACCTGAAGCAATCTCGAAATTTATATATTTCTCTGAAAGCTATTGATCATGAAGTAAATAGTCAAGAAGAAAATTATCCAGTGTAATAATTTTAAATATACATTAATAATAATTTTAAATATATAATAATACTTTGTAGTGTTTTTGCGATAATAAAGTTTTGCGTACATTTTATTTTGACATATTTCGACGAAAATAATATCGTGCATGATATTTAAAAGGCGTTTCTAATTTTATTTGACCGTGTGTTACCTTTTTAATATAATATTACTTGAAGTTATAATATTGCCTAAAAAATTTTGCAATGAGATATCTTTGTATGAATATAATTTAAAAAATTTTTGTAAACAGTTATTAATTTTCTAAACAATTATTAATATTTTGCTCCGCGTTTACAAAAAAGTAAATTACTTTATTAAAAATATTAATTACAACGTCGTATATATTCTTCATTTATAGTTTTAATTATTTTTCAAATATTATATATATGAGAAATGAGAAATATTATATACTTGTATAAAATCTGTGTAATGTTCAAAACTTTTGATTATTAATGTTGTAGATTGCGCGATGCGGTTCGCGAGTCAAACGTTAATCGTAATGGCATTAGTTGCATCGCTTATCAATCAAATGTCATACCATATGACACTTGTATCGCGCAATAACTACGAACGAAACTTTAAGGTTTTACGCGACGAGGCCATTCGAATTACGGAAGTCTAATTTGAAAGGCGTGTAACGAGCGTTACTCGGTCGAGCGTCGAGGCAATAATGCTGTAATTTATGACAGCGGCTACGTACATCCACTAAATATTTCCGCGCGCCGCTTTTAGCGGTTTGACGGGCACATTGTCGGGCACTTACTTATGCAATAAACGTCAAATATTTCTCGGTGCCGTTGTACCCACAAATGCATCGTGCTGCCGACAGTCACTTGACAGTAACGTCTCGAGGGCAGCGGTGTCGTTGTGCAAGTCACTACAGCGGAGCGTCTTATCTAATCTCCAAGAACGCCGGTCGGTGTCTGCTTCATCGCCTCGCTCTGGTAGTGAGAAAATATTGACGAACATTCTTTCGCTTTTAACCCACGCTGTTAGGCGCTTTTAAGGCGACACATCCGGTCGCGTATTACCTGGGAGACGCGTTTATATACGCACGTTTACGTATATAAAAAAGTGTTAATCATGTTTATCCATTTCATTTATTTTTCTGAAAGTTTGACAAACTTTTACAATTCTATATATCTTTTTTTTTTATTTATTTTCTATATTATTTCTAATTTTTTTTTCTTTCTGTAATTAGTTAAGAAACAAAACAATAATTTTATTCGCACGAAAAGTCACGCGACGTAATTGTCATTCAACGCAATTGACAATACCGATTAAAGTTGTACGTAGTTTTGCAATTTCTGAACGAGCGACTTCAATGACGTTTGATTAAGATGCGAGATTAATGCCTTTAACAGGTGAACATTCTTTGCAGATGACAACCGACATGGCGACGTCGTAAAATCGACGCGGCTCTCATCCTTCATGGATTATAAGTGATAACGCGGGACTAAAATGACCATCATCGTGGGACTCCACGCTCCTTAACGCGATTTGTTTATCCAAAAATATCGCCGCAAGTGTCGTCATGACGCGTATGGATCGCGCATGAACGATCACGTGTCATTCCAGATAGACCATCTCGGCGACGATCCGGGACAAATTGGTGACTCGTACGGCGTATTTGACATCTGACAGTGTCCGACGTGCGTGCATTCGCGATTGCAATCAGAAAAAAAGAGAAAAAGGAAAGATAAGCAAACGGCGTGAACGAGAGAATTGCGCGAACGCGAAGTTCGTGTACGAGCACGGACTGTCGTCGTTGACGTAGCAAAAAAATACGCGGAGCGTCATAAAAGAAAGGCGCGTGAGGGATGCGGCCCACGGACGAAGGGTGGGGTCTTTGGATACCGATAAGGCTTATCCGGAGATACGATGGCCGGCAACTGCGCTCGTCGAGTCGTCAGTCGTAGTGCTCAGGTGCCGTCGACGAGATCGTCGCGCCGCTCAGGTCGTAGTGATATCGCGCATCATACGTCACTTTGCTCCGAGGAGATATCTTGAGAGTAACGTTTCCGGACCAGGTGCTTGGTGATATCGCGGGAGTTCGTGAAGAGGTCTTTAGAAGGTACGACAGGTCGGCCTTTTTGTGAGGAGATCGCGTTATATAAAGTAGCGACGAGACGAGCGAGACACGATAACGGGCAATCACTGCCGCGAGAGCGACTAATCGCCGTTTCCGAGGTCGTCTCGAGTTTTTAATTTGACGCTTTAGCGCGTTAAGTGGACGGCGACAAAAAGCGGCCACCTACATACATCGAGGGTGCGAGCGAGGAAAAGTGAGAGGAGAAGGTGAGAGGAAAGTTGAGGAGAGAGAAATAGAGAGAACTAAAGAGAAAGAGAGAGAGAGAGGCATGAATGTATACGGAACAAAAGGTTTAAGGGCAACATATCAGTTTCCCTCTCTCTCTCTCTCTCTCTCTCATTCTTTCTCTCGCATCTTTTTTTTCTTTTTCTCTTTGCTTTTTCTCTCTTATTTCTCGTAGCGAACGGGGGCGTTTCGTCTCCTCTATTTTCTCTATCTTTCCTGCTTTCTGCAGCCGCCGAGCTCTTTGTACAGTTTTCGCCTCATGTGTTAAATTATGTGCGACCTCTTTGACATTTGACAACCGCTGTAGTTCCGGTAATTATAGTCCCATCCTCGCCGCGAGTTTGCACCTTCACGCTTGTATTTTCCCTTGAATCCAACGCATTCTTGCGCCCTCATCTTTTTGCCCTCAATGAACCTCCAAATGTAATTCGCGGGAGGCTAAAATCCCTTCGCGAGTTCTTACGCCTATCGCGTCAGCTTCTTTTTCCTCTTGTGCTGCATATAGTGGCAGAAATTTGCAAGTACCTATTCAATTCTCGCTTGGTTTTACAAGAGCTAGAAACCGACAGACATTCACTTCGAATTACTTCAACAGCCGACTCTTTCAAAGTACGTTTTACTCTATATAATCGCCGATAAATCTTTTCCTTGATCTTATAAAGTTGATGATTAATGCAGCACGTGAATGCTCTCATAGAATCGCCAGTGCTAAAAAACTTTTTAAAAACAATTAATATATATATGATATAGATAGATTAATAAAAATTATATATAAATTCGCACACTAAAATACGTTATATACCCAGGAAATATCTTTTTATATTTGTGCTCAATTTTTTGTTCCAACTCAGAGATCAATTTTGATTAAGCATCTGTACTTGTTAAATTAAATCAATAAACAAAATTCATGCAATTAAGTTGCGAAAATTGATCTAGTTATTTTCATCTAAATCATGGAAAGCTATAAATTACTCTCTCTAAATCGTATTTGAGATTCGTGACATGAAAGCCCGAATAAATTATGTATATCTTGCCTAGTTTTTTCTTTATTATATGCATTAATAAAGTATACCATTTATCTCTTAAAGTTAAATTCGATAGTCTTAATTAAATTTTGATGTTATATCAAAATTAACATTTATAACGTAATTTATAATTAAAGTTATCGAGTTACTCGAATATCAAATATAACTTATGTACCAAATGTAGCTCTACAAACATACATTTGAAGATTCTAAATTTCATTCATTTCATTTCCCATCTTCTAAGCTTTACTTCCTAAAGTTGAAGACGTTTCGCTCTTTTAGAGTTTTGTCTATTGCAACGGAAAATCGGCAAATGCTCCTTCGTGTCAAGCTGGAAACTAATTCGAATTCTTAGGCGACACACACACACATACACATATACATGGATTCTCTCTGTATTCGTTTCGCTGAACCTCTCCTTCCATCAAGCTTTCTTCCTATCGCGCGTATCTCTTCGTCCTTTCGCGTACTTTTAAGACTTGACCTGTTACGAGATGCGCGTGAAACAAAGGAAAGTCGTGTACCGGTAAACTGGAACTTGGGGTTAGAGTTAGCTATAGAGAAAAAGAGAGGGAGAGAGGGAAACAAAGGATTACAGAGGCGAAAAAATGAGATAGAAGCAGAAAAGGAAGAGAGCCGGGCGGGGATACCAAACTCCTATCCCTCGTGAACCGCACATGAGTCGAGAGTTTCTAATTAAACTTAAACTTTTAATTGACTCATTGTAAAGCAGTTTGTTGTAAGAAGCCCCCGCACGCGTCTCCGCTCAGCCAGTTTTCCTCCACGGTGTCGTCCCCTGTTCCCAGCTTGGGATTCGTCTTCGTGCGTTTCCTTTATCTTCGCCACACTTTGTATCCCGTACAGTCGAATTACAATGCCGAACGTCATTCGATAGTCGATGACAAGCCGCGAAAATCGTTATCGAGATAATGATTGAGAACATATTACACTCATGAATAAATAAAAATGTTATTATACTTTATCGCAACGTCATGTTATTTCTATATCTGCATCTTATTTAAATTGCCTGAATCAGACAAGATGAAATTTCTTATGATAATTGCACGAAGAAAAGGATTTTTGTCTCTTAATACATTTGGATATATACAACATATTTATTTTTAGGTACATTTGATTGTATTTGTATACAAATTTATTTTCTTTGTACAATTGCAAAAAGATTGCATTCTATTAAATGAATAACAATTATAATAAATTACAATAAATTTAATTTTTGAGATGTGTAATAGACTTTCGTAAAATTGATTAGAACAAACAAACGCGTTCAGGGATGGAAAATAATAGATGTAAAAGCAGAAATAGACCTGGTATATGCGATGTATTCAAATTAGTTGTTTTGCAATTATAGATTTATCAGGGATGGAAAATAATAGATGTAGAAGCAGAAATAGACCTGGTATACGCGATGCATTCAAATTAGTTGTTTTGCAATAATAGATTTATTGGCAGCATCGCGCGAATCATGTCAGGATCTTAAATCAAAACCGAATGGGAATCGTTAACGATTAAATTTAACGACGCGTATTTCGAGAATGATAATCGGCACACAATCAATTTCGCGAATGTAGACAAAATTCTCATCAAACACCGGTACTTGTCCACAGGGTTTCGTATTCTACAGCTGAATCGTGTCTCAACGGACTTCCAAAGACGCTCCTATCCGCTCTTCTGGCATTCTAGAAGTATACGAAAGAAAAACAAACGATCGGATCAATCGCTGTCACGCGCTATTCGAAAGGATCGAGACTTTAACGGGACTTTCAGTCTTTCGGCCGCGCGCTTTCGTGTTGTCAGTGCTTAAACCACGCGATGAGTGTATGATCCGCGTGTTAAGAATTATCGAACGCAGCTCGTGAAACAAGAGTGTCCTGTGTCGTTTGTATAAGTAGCCCGTTCGCGCGACACACAGTAGAGTTTGAGGGTTTGACGCCTTCAAACCGCAAGTGTAAAATAATCCTGTCTTCCTCAAGGATAAACGAGATCGAGCAAAGGAGACACCGACAACCGGTCGTCCAACGAATCCCGATGAAAATGCTACAGTCGCTCAACGCTCTGGCGGGTAAAATCTCGCCAGGCTCTCCCACGGACAGCAATGCCAACAAGGTGCACATGCATAACAACAACAATAATAACAACAACGTAGTACATCACCATCCCTACTCCAAACAGCAGGCTCAGCCGTCTCCATCGCATTCGGCCAACGGCGATCAGAAGGAAAACACGTGAGTTTTTTGTTATTTTTGTACTATGCAATGCGACATTTAGTTTGTAAAAAATTATTTAAAAAATGTTTTTTTGCATTTTTCGAACATATTTCAACTTTTTTAAAAATAATTCTGAGATGGTAAAAAGAGAAATTTAAAAACTTGATAGAAATATATCTATAATGTTTTTTAACGCCGCTGCACGCTTTTTTAATCTGAGAATGATGAACATACAGTTTTGCGTGGTAAATAGTTAAATTATTACGCTCCAAGAGGTCCTTACATATTTTGTTCACTTTTTGTCACATTTTTCTGCAAGTATTTTTGACAGTTGCAAATCGAACAATTATCGTGCAGATTATTGTTCACTAAGAAATATTGAAATCTTTAGTAACAATGACTTTAGACCATAGATCATAACACAATACATACAGCACTTGAGACAAGTTATTAATTGCAGTTACACAAAACGCAGTGATGTTCGCTACTATGAATAATTACTGACTAACTTGAAAGTAGGTCGCCCATTTTACACTGGTTACGGGAATTCCTATATTATACCGGATGACTAAATCTCGCAGCCCATCGGCAATCTGTTAAAATGTTTTGTTTACATTGCTCGGCTTACATACAATACAACGCGTTACTATTTAAGGATTAATTAACATATTCAAGAGCCGATTACAGTAACATCAATTAACGTAACCATGCGTAACTAGAGTTCTTGCTCTATCTGTACCAATGGTATAGTAAAGCCGCAGCGAAACGTCGCCTGGGCGCTGCTTTTGTGCTCAGTAGTTGTTACTTAACATGTTGTGCCTGTGTAGAGGAGATGAGAGAAAGAGAGAGAGAGAGAGAGAGAGAGAGAGAGAGAGAGAGAGAGAGCTGTAACTGCAGATAAATTTAAGATCTACGCTACAAATCTGTACTATAGTTAAATATAATACAAATATGATTAATTAACTAGTTCTTCGGATAAAACTTGGTTTAAACCGTTTAAAATACTGTCACGCGCTAAGTTTGTCACGATATAATTTATTCAATGTAGTAATATCTGTAGAAACGCTTTGTAACGATAAACCTTAAATAATTTGATAATTAATTAGATTTTTGCTTTCAATAGATTGAAATAATAATGTTTCTGCGACATATATCAAATGTAGAAATTTATTTGCTCTAATTGAGGAAATGTTGTAATATTTTAGATTAACTTTTTAAACTTTTGCCTTTACCACTATCTTAATCCGCAACGACTGGAGAAACGTTTAGAAAATGTAATTTACGCTTATGCCATGATATTTGTGGTTTATTTCTTTTTTTGTATAATTTCATTGTTCACAAAAGAAAATGAGATACTGCTTGGCATACTCGATATATATAAGACTTTCTTCGTAACGGAAAGAAAGACTTTCGTCGAGCAAAAGGGAAAAGGAAGCGCATAACATTAGAGATATAAATAAATAATAAACGCTCTGTTCCTTTCAGCCAAGTAAAAACATCTCGAAAATGTTTGATTAGAACAACAAGTTTATTTCTTTAAAATAAACATCGTACAGATCCGATTGTATCGATCATATTTCATCGGCTTTTACAATTAGCCGAAGAGTGCTTAAGAACGTGTGGCCCGCTTATGTCATCGTAGATAACCCGTAACTTTTTCATAAGTACAGCTTTAAAAAGACTGTTTACGAGAACAAAGAGAGGCGAGCTCCTAGAACAAGGGCTCACGTTTCTACTCTATGTCCCCTTCTAATGGAAAAAGTATTTATGCGTGGAGAATGTCACGAGGCTCTTCATCATCGTAAAGTCTTCCCTTTAGCGTGTGCTCCGGTATTCTTTCAGGAATCATAAAAGAGAATGAGAAAGAAAGAGAGAGAGAGAAGAGTAAAGAATGGGGGAGAGAGAGGGAGGGCAAGAGAGTTCGCGGAAAAAAGATTTTTTTTCGTCGTCTCAAAAAAGTCGACAGAGGGGTGTTGTCGCAATGGTAAAGGGCGCTCCTCTTCATTATTTTGTTACGTCGCGTAAACGTGTCTCTGTAGAATGGGGAGGCAATGAAGGCCTAAAATAACTCGCC